TTTGTTGATCATTATTAGTTATATAAAGTTCTCTCCTGCAATAATTGTTTTGCCATTAAATTCTTCACAAGCTTTAGATCTTTATATGAATATTCTTCTTAAATCAGCTTGGGGAACTTGGGAGGCTTTTAGTATCAATGGAAAAGTTGGAGAATGAGCTAAAGAACTGTGATAAGTGCCAAGTATGTTTAACATAGTTACTATTTTCTGTGTTTACAGTTGGATTCTCCTATTTGAATTTCCATATTATATTGTAGTGGATAAAAAGGGCAGTGAATAAATGGTATTGTTTGATGAGAAATTTATTTTATAGAGATTTTTGTGTATTGTAAAATGGGTTAGAGTACCATTTGTTCTCAATATATGAATAAAATGAGTTAGGTTTTTATCAATATAGCAAAAGAATAAGTGCAGGGGAAAATTATAGAATAAAAGTGAATTACCAATTGTAAAAAAAAAAAAAAACAAAAGGATCTATACCAACGGAATTATCCATTTGTAAGGGTAAAGGTCTATACCCACAGTAAAATTTTTTAAAATTTTTTAAAATTTTTTAGGGTCTATACCAACGGAATTATCCATCTGTAAAGGTCAAGGTCTATACCAACGGATAAATCTTTTAAAATTTTTCAGAGTCTATACCAACGGACAAATCTTCCATCGGAATAGATCCCAGGGTCTATACCCACGGATTAGTCGTTGGTATATACCTTATAGTGACGGGGTTTGCACCGACGGAAAGCTCTTCCGTTGGAATAGTCCCTGGGGTGTATACTGACGGGAAACTTCCGTCACTATAGATACATCCGCTTGTAGTGTAAGTTACCCAAAAAAAAAAAAAAAGGGAAAAAAACACTAAATGTGTAATCTGTTTAATTGCATTATCAATATACCACCAAGTGCTAAACAGCCTGTTCCGACTTAGTGACATAAACCCTGGGTTAAGGCGTTCACCTCTTATAGGTAGCGTGTTCAAGCCTCACAGAACTCCTTTCCCCAATTAATATATATAAATAATTTCAATATGTTCTTAAAAAAATCATATACGGCCTAGTGCCAAAACCTGAATGATTTCCTACGATAAGTTATAATCCTGCTCTAGGGTCTCAAGCCTCTTAACACTTAATCATTCAATGAATCTATACTATTTATATATATATATGTATAAATATAGCTATAGGTAAAATGCATATCAGTCCCAACTCCTAAAAATCAGTTGATGTGAATGCCCCCTTGAGATTCTTTGATGTTATTTCTGCAACGTAGATAGGTGCTGCACCAAGGGAAAGCACAAGGAAAGTGCACTAGGATTGCAAGTCAACAAATTTCAGACTACACTCTGCAGACTACAAATAGGCCGGTGCAATTTTATCAAAAATGGCCACTAAATTCCACAAAGATGGCTAACTCCCAACTGCATTTTCACTTTTCATTTATTGCCTTATGTTAGATTTTGCCTATAAATAGCTATGTTCCCTTCGTTGTATGCATAAGTTTTAATCCAAAAATTTCAATTTATAATTCTCCTCTATTGAGTGAGTTCTTGAGAGTGGATTCTCTTAATTTATCTCTGTATCTTAGGTCTTGCCAACCTAAGTGGTGAGCCTGACAATTGAATTCATCGTAGTGGGATTTTAAATCCCACCAAAATCGGTGTTTTGGTATCGGTTCCTACGCCATTTGGTGTCAGAGCCAATATATTTGGAGTCTGCACGTCATTCTAAACGCTCTGGTGAAAACCCGGTCAACGAACAAGGTAGCTCGCGCCTCCACGCGCAATCGTCGTTGTCTCACACGCCGGCCACTTGCACCACTACAAATTGCGTGAAAATCACGCGCCGGTCTTCTTCAACCTCCCATTCGCCACGTCATCAACCACGTCATCGATGCGTCATCAGCCACGTCATCGACGCGTCATCAGCCACGTCATCGACGCATCATCAGCCACGTCATCGACGCGTCATCAGCCACGTCATCGACGCATCATCAGCCACGTCATCGACGCGTCATCAGCCACGTCATCATCCAATCACTACCACATCATATATTGCCACGTCATCAACCACGTCAGTGACACGTCATCACCGCAGCCGCACTCTTTTACCACATCATCAAATCCCTCAACTTATTTTGACCTCACAGATTGACCCCATAATTTTATAAATTTCAAATTACTCTCACTTTCAAATACTAACTTTCCAAAAAGCCCCTTACCAACCTAAACTCATCATGCCTCCTAGAAGACAAAATCCTCCTTGTCAACGAGCTGTTCAGGACATAGAAATGGAAGAACTACGTCAACAAATTCAAAGGCTTCAAGAAAGACTCGAAGCTTTTGAGGGACAACAAGCTCAACACCCGCAAGATGAACCACATGAGTCAGAGGAAGATACTGATGACGAGAATCCCTTCCATCACCTAAGGGATAATGAAAGCTCATCATCAGCAGAAAGAGTTTGTCGTCGACGACGTCCCCAACAAAATGCTGCTCCCAAATCCACTGACCTTGGCATCAAAATCGATATTCCAGATTTTGAAGGTCGCCTTCAACCCGATGAATTTATCAACTGGTTGCACACTGTGGAACGTGTGTTTAAACTCAAGGATATTCCTGACGACAAGCGTGTGAAGCTCGTCGCCATCAAATTAAAGAAACATGCATCCATTTGGTGGGAGAATCTCAGACGCAGTCGAGAAAGAGAAGGCCACAGCAAAATTAGAACTTGGGAGAAAATGCGTCGGGAGCTCACCCGTAAGTCTTTACCTGACCGTTACTACCAAGATAATTTTGTTAAATTTCATAACTTGTAGCAAAAATCTTTGTTTGTGGAAGAATATACTATGGAGTTCGAACAATTAATGATGAAGTGTGATGTTCGGGAAAAGGACGAGCAAGCCATAGCTCCATATCTTGGAGGATTGGACTATGACATTTCCAAAGTTGTTCAACTTCAACAATATTGGACTTTGGATGATGTAATTCGGCTAGCATTGAGGGTTCAAAAGCAAATCTCAAAGAAGAATATCACTAGTGCTTCAAAATCGCGGGATTTTGGAGCTAACCGAGGGACTCAAGCCTAAAAAATTGTTGCTAAGACCCCTGCCAAGACTGAGAAGGAAGTCAACTCGAGCCGTCCAGCTCAATCTAACACTCGAAAGTGTTTCAAGTGTCAAGGATTTGGCCACATAGCCTCCGACTGTCCAAATAGGAGAGTTGTTACCATTATCGAAGGAGAAATTCATGAAGCCTCAGAAGATGAAGCAAAAAAGGAGCAAAATGATGAAACTAAGTCACCCCAACTTGAGGAAGAACTCATCCCAGCTGACCATGGAGAATCTTTGGTTGTGAGTCGTAGTCTTCATGCTACCATAACCAAGGATGAAGATTGGCTTCGACATAACATCTTTCACACCAGATGCACTTCTCGAGGGAAAGTCTGCAATGTCATCATTGATAGTGGAAGTTGTGAGAATGTTGTGTCAAATTATATGGTTGAGAAGCTAGGTCTGCCTGTCAAAGATCATCCCCATCCATACAAGTTACAATGGCTACGAAAAGGAAATGAGGTAAAAGTAACTAAACATTGCCTTATGTATTTTTCTATTGGTAATAGGTACCAAGATGAAGTATGGTGTGATGTTATTCCTATGGATGCTTGTCACTTGTTACTTGGTCGCCCTTGGCAATTTGACTGAAAGGCTATCCATGATGGCCATGCCAACACCTACTCGTTTGTGAAAGATGGTGTGAAGGTCAAGCTCACTCCCTTGAAGCTTGAAGAAACACTTGAAAAGAAGGATGAGGACAAGGCTTTAATCTTCATATCAACCTTTCAGAAGTTGCACCAAGAGTCGAGGATAGCATGTCTCATACTATTATCCAAAGTAAATGATGCCACCTGCCCTTTTCCAGAAGAAATTCAATCTCTCCTTGAAGAATTTTCTGATGTTGTTCCTGACGATATCCCTCCTGGATTACCACCAATGAGAGACATTCAACATGCCATTGATTTCATCCCAAGATCTGTCATCCCAAACAAGCCTGCTTATCGGATGAACCCTCAAGAGTATGCGGAACTTCAACGACAAGTCAAAGAACTGATGGAGCAAGGACTTGTCAAGGAAAGCGTTAGCCCATGTGCCGTGCTTGTGCTGCTCGTTCCAAAGAAAGATGGAACTTGGAGAATGTGTGTAGATAGTCGAGCAGTCAACAAAATCACTATCAAGTACCGCTTCCCAATTCCACGCCTTGATGATATGCTTGATCAACTGCATGGAGCTACTGTCTTCTCAAAGATTGATTTGAGAAGTGGATATCACCAGATTCGAATGCGTCCCGGTGATGAATGGAAGATAGCATTCAAAACTAGAGATGGTTTGTACGAGTGGACGGTCATGCCATTCGGATTGTCTAATGCTCCCAGCACTTTCATGCGCCTTATGAACCATGTATTTCGACTCTTCATTGGGAAATTTGTTGTGGTCTACTTTGATGATATCCTAGTATATAGCAAGAATGAACAGGAGCACCTAGACCATCTCCGGCAAGTTTTTGAAGTCCTTAAAGAGCAGAAACTTTATGCTAATCTTAAGAAATGTTCATTCCTCACTACACGTGTGACATTTCTTGGATACATCATCACTGCTCAAGGTATCAAGATGGACCTCAGTAAGATTGATGCTATTGTCAACTGGCCTACACCAACATCGATGCATGATGTTCGAAGCTTCCATGGCCTGGCATCTTTTTACCAGAGATTCATTAAGAATTTTAGTTCTATTGTTGCCCCAATCACTGACAGCCTTAAGGGTGACAAATTTTCATGGAGTGGCAAAGCCCAACAGAGTTTTGAAGAATTAAAGAGAAAGCTCACTGAAACCTCTGTACTTGCACTTCCCAACTTTGACCTAATGTTTGAAGTAGATTGTGATGCTTCTAATGTTGGAATTAGTGCAGTGTTAAGTCAAGAAGGTTGACCCATTTCCTTCTTCAGTGAAAAGTTGAATGACACAAAGCTCAGATATTCCACCTATGACAAAGAATTCTATGCAATTGTTCGAGCCTTGGAGCATTGGAGTCATTATCTTCTTTCAAAAGAATTCATCTTGCACTCTGACCATGAGGCATTGAAGCACCTGAATTCTCAACAGAAGATCAGTCGTCAACATGCTGCTTGGAGTGAATTTCTACAAGCTTATCCTTTCCTCCTCAAATACAAATCTGGAGTCCAGAATCGTGTAGCTGATGCTCTGAGTCACCGACATGCCTTGCTTACTTCCTTACAGATGAAAGTCACTGGATTTGAAGTGATCAAGGAGTTGTATGAGGATGATCCTGATTTTAGCAACATTTGGCAAGCCACTTCTAATCAAGCTTTTCAGCAATATCATCGCCAGCAAGATTACCTCTTCAAGGGTAACCGACTATGTGTTCCACGTTGCTCACTCCAAGATTCAATTATCTGGGAAGCACATAATGGTGGATTAGCTGGTCATTTTGGGAGAGACAAGACTTTAGCTCTTGTTAAAGAAAGTTTTTACTGGCCAAAGTTGGAGCAGAATGTCATTTGTCAAAGATGCAAAGTTTGTCACCAAGCCAAGACAATCAATCAGAGCACAGGGTTGTATCTACCATTGCCTATCCCAACATCACCTTGGGAAGATGTTAGTATGGATTTTGTCCTTGGTCTACCACAAACTCAACGAAGCAAGGATTCTATCATGGTCGTGGTTGACAGATTTTCTAAAATGGCTCACTTTATTGCTTGTCAAAAAACTAATTATGCTTCTCTCATTGCTGAGTTATATTTTAGAGAGATTGTGCGTCTACATGGAGTTCCAAAGACCATCACTTCAAATAGAGATGTGAAGGTCATGAGTCATTTTTGGAGGACTTCATGGAGAAAGATGGGCACTCAACTCTAGTTTAGTTCTACTAGCCATCCCCAAACCGATGGGCAAACTGAAGCTATCAATAAGATTTTGGGGAATCTACTACGAAGTTTTGTGGGAAAGAATTTGCGACAATGGGATCTTGTGCTTGCCAAGCTGAGTTTGCCTACAACAACTCTTCGAATCAAGCTACAGGATAATGCCCATTTGAAGTAGTATATGGAGTGCGTCCTCTCAGTCCTTTAGATCTTGCTCCATCGCCCACATCCCGACAATTTAGTGCAAATGCTGAACAACGAGCCAAGGAGATCAAGAAACTTCATGAAGAAGTTCGTGAGAAGCTACAACATCAAACCATTAGGTATAAGGCTCATCATGACAAGCACCGAAAGAAGGTTGTGTATAAAGAAGGAGATTGGGTTTGGATACACCTTCGAAAGGAAAGGTTTCCTAATCGACCTAATGTCAAACTCTCCCCTAGAGCAGATGGTCCTTTTCAGATAGTGGAGAAATTCAATGATAATGCCTACAAGATCAAACTTCCAGGTGACTATGGAGTCTCTGCTACTTTCAATGTAGCTAACCTATCTCCTTACTATGAGGACCATGAGCATTGAACTCAAACTCGAGGACGAGTTTTCTCCAACCAGGGGAGAATGCACCGAGGGAAAGCACCAGGAAAGTGCACCAGGATTGCAAGTCAACAAATTTCAAACTACACTCTGCAGACTACAAATAGGTCGGTGCAATTTTGTCAAAAATGGCCACTAAATTCCACAAAGATGGCTAACTCCGAACTGCATTTTCACTTTTCATTTATTGCCTTATGTTAGATTTTGCCTATAAATAGCTATGTTCCCTTCGTTGTATGCATAAGTTTTAATCCAAAA